ACACAAGGAAGGAGATTCCTGGAATCCCCGCGACCCTGGGAATGGGGCCCCTGGGCTGTGGGACTGAAATCCCAGGGCACAGCTTTGTAAGCTGCTACCTGAAGAATTCGGACAAAAAGTTGACTTCCTGAAACACCCGTAGAATTAGCTAACAGCGTTCACAAGCCTTGTCACTTATATCTTTATCCTGTGTTCTGGGTAGACAACGTGTGTGGGTCAGGAAAAACCCCCGAAGAGGAAAAATCCTGGGGACCTGGTGCCACAGACGAGTCTTATTTCCACGGGGATCGTTTTAACTCTTACCTGCTCCCTTACCCGCACGCGGATCCATATCCCAGAGCAGCCGGGGTCAGGGCATTGGGGACAGAGGGTCACGGGGTGAAGGGGATGTCACAGGGTGGGGTCATGGGGCTAGGGGAGACGTCACAGGATGGGGGTCTCAGGACTGAGGGTGGTGTCACAGGGCAAGGTCACAGGGTGGGGGTCACTGTGATGGAGGCTATGGGTCGTGAGACGGGGGTGATATCACGGGACAGGGTCACTGGTTGGGGGTCACAGGGCTGGGGGCTGAGGGTCACAGTGCTGAGGGTGATGTTACAGGGCAGGGGTCACGGGGCCAAGGGTGATGTCACAGGATGTGGATCAGGGGACTAGGGTAATGTCACAGGATGGGGGTGATGTCATGGGGTGGGGTCATGCTGGGGACTCAGCTGCCTTTAAACTTTGCCTCCAACCTGACAGAGCCCAGGTGCTGAGGGAGGGGGGTGTCTGTGGGGGGGGGTGACCCCACCTGACAGAGCACAGGTGGTGAGGAAGGGGGTGTCTGTGGGGAGGGTGACCATGCACGTCCTCTGTGCCCCAGAGGTGTGCCATGTCTCTCAGCCCTGCCTTTGAAAGGACCCCCAGGGGTCCCTCTCTCGTGCCCCTTCAGAGTTCCAAGCACCTGTGCCAGGTGGGTGCCCTCCTGCCCAGGCGGCCAACTCTGTGTGGCCCCGAGCCCGTGGCTCCTCTCCCTGTCTCTTCATCTTTGCGTCCCACTCCTGCGGGGGGTGGCGAGCGAAGCCTGGGCCCACGGGGGACCACGCTGCATCCTGCAGGCACGGTGGGCGGTCGGGGTCCCGCCCGAGAACAGTGGGACCCTGGGACACGGCGGCAGGTGGACGATGCAGGCACAGGTGTGGGCGGGATTCTTGTGAACCATGAGCCGAAGTCACATGCAAGACCGGATGGAACCGGAGGGTGTTACGCCGAGCGAAACTCGTCAGTCACAGACACGCACGTACCGTGTGACGTCCCTGATACGAGGAACCTGAGAAACAAGGCAGAGGCTCACAGGGGAAACGGGAGACAAACCCTGAGAGACTCCTGATCTCGGGAAACAAACTGAGGGTTGCTGGAGGGGGGTGGAGGGACGGGGTGGCTGGGGGTGGACGCTGGGGGGGTGTGCGCTGTGCTGAGCGCTGTGGATGGTGTAAGCCTAATGAATCACACACTTGTACCCCTGGAACAAGCAAGACATTATGTGTTCATAGAACAAACCAACGAAAATCCCATGAGCCCTTCTGCCGCTTTGTTCAAACATTTCCTGAACGAGGCATATTTTAAGGAAAATCAAAGTCATGATTTCCCGAGGAAGAAACGCAAACGCAAAGAGAGAACAGCTGCGAGAGAAACAGGGTTCACGTCAGAGGGGAGGTCCCAGAAGCCTGCTTGGCAGAGAGCAGAAGGAGCAGGTCCCGTCTTTTTTATCTTTTCTGAGACATGGACAGAGATGAAGGGCTTTCCACGTCCATTTCCTAGGGGGACGGGACCTGGGTGCAGGGACAGCCAAAGTGGGGTTTGGGGGGAAGCCAGATGAAGCTACGTCCACAGTGGGGTTGGGGGAGGGGACCCAGCTGGAGGGACAGCCAAAGTGAGGTTGGGGGAGGGGACCCAGGTGCAGGGACATCCACAGTGGGGTTGGG